TGTGTGTGTGTGTGTGTGTGTGTGTGTGTGTGTGTGTGTGTGTGTGTGTGTGTGTGTGTGTGTGTGTGTGTGTGTGTTTGTAAACTCTAAATGCTCTAAAAGAGCACAGAATGTCATGATATCAGCTCTTTGCCACCGGCTGTTGTCTGCCATCTACCAGTGCTCTCGGCCACGCCCACTTCTCTGCTGCAGAGCCAAGATATGACACGCTGCAGGAGGGAGCTTCTCCTGCTCCTGTGGGCTGCACACAGGTGCAGCAGGTGCTAAATGATTTAAAATCATTTATTATGAATAAAAATTCCATGCCAATCGTGCGGCTCATCCATCAATCAGTCAATCGTGTGTCATGTCCAATCTTACTTTGAAAAACCGCAATACAACAAGTCCACAAAAAAATTAACTGCGAGGGACTAGTGTATTCCTTTAAGTGCTGAGAAATGTGACGCTGTTCTTTTTCTCATTTCTGACTAGCCCATACTGGAAATCTGTTTTGGTTTTCCACAGAGGCAGTGGATGGGTACTGGAGTTGCTGGGGGCCATGGAGTCCCTGCGGGGGCACCATGAGGAGACACCGGACGAGGAGGTGCGACAACCCCGTCCCCCTCAGAGGAGGGCAATCCTGCGATGGTCCAAATAGACAGGAGGAGCCATGTCACATCTCTCTTTTTGAAAAGTAAAATGATAATCATCGGGAACATGAACTAGTCATCTGTCCTCCTTTTACACAAACAGGTTAAAACAAACCCCGGCTGTTAATGATGGACCTGCTTCTCTGGTTCTGGTGTCTTCTGCAGACACGAGTCCTGCGATAACGATGACGATTTCACTGTCGGCTGGAAGGATGAGCTGCCGCCTGGAGTTCAGGGCTGTTTGAGGCCACAGAGGCCAGCCAACAGCTTCCTCAGAGTAAAAACAGGGAAACTCCTGCTTATTCCCTTCATGAGACACATAGTTTAGACTTTCTCTGTGTTTTTCTAACAGAAAGCCAAACAGTACTACAGCTTTGGTGAGGATGAGGAGTTCCAGTGCTTTACTGGATTTGACCTGGATGGTTTTCAGTTCATCAACTGCCTCCCTGATGGCACCTGGAGCCAACCAAGAGGAAGCTGCATCAGTAAGTGTGTTTGAACAAGATCGGCCACTGAGCACCAGACACAGTTTCCATGTTGAGTCCAGTGACCTTTCACATAGAAGGTAAAAACCTGAAGAAAAAACACTACTGGAGGCCAAGTTCTTGTCATCCCGAAGAAAAGAAAACCTGTAGAGTTGATTCCTAAGATGCTTAAGTAAAATAAACAAGTTTTTTTTAAAAAGCATTAAACAACAACCAACTGAATTCAATTCAATTCAGTTTATTCATATAGCACCAAGTCACGACAGAAGTTGTCTCAGGGCACTGAACAAAAACATTCACAGACATTATAAAAGCCAATTAGTAAAACTTATCTGTCTAAGGAAGCCAGCAGATTGCATTCAACCAACAGATTTATTACCGAGGGAAGACTGGTGATGATGATGCACACTACTGTCACAAGAACGGAATACCCAGTAGAAAGGACTGATCATGAACAGCTCAGACACGAGGAAGTCAATTCAGTGCTTTTATTTACAGTGCGAAATAAACTCTGGATTAAACAGGAACCCTGTGGAGAAAGGAGATAGTTTAAATCCAGAGTTCATCTCAGAAGGGTTTACTCAGAACGTGAGGTTATCCTTACTCATAGATGGTAGGTGACCAGCTTGGATCCAGAATCCGTAACAGTCATGAGAAGGTCCAAGAAGCACTAGAGAGCATGATGGCTGGAGACACAGGAGAGCAGCTGAAGGGGCACAGGAAGTGTTTCAAAGGTTCACACGGAAGGTGAGGCACACAGGTGTATCACAAATGGTACACTGGAAAGATCATACATGAGAAGTCAGTATTCACAAGGCACTAGTAAGAGAAAGAGGCCGAAAGCATGAACCACTGGCAGGGTAATGCTCCAGCGTCAAAGTAGTCACAAATTCTCTTTTATATATGCCCAGGAGCCTCATAAGGAATCATTGTCTGCAGCTGTGGGAGTATGGTACCATCTAGTAACCAAACACTGGAACTCCCCAAGTACCTTTGTACTTAGTTTAGAAAAAACTACTATAGTTAATCACAAAGAAAATAGCTAAACTAAGTTAATATTTTATGTTTTGAAGGAAATACGAGGGAGAAGTTTGCATTATGCTCCACGTCAATCCAGCTGAGTTGTGTTCCATCCCTCTTTTGGTTCTGTGATCCTTGCTTCATCCATCCACATATCTGCTTGTGAATGAGTAAAAAGCATGGTGAAAATAAATGAATTGTTGTATATTTTAAAGACAACTGGTGATATGATAAATTAAGAAAAAAAAAGTTAATAAACAAAACCACTGAACTTCTATACTGTAGACGTTTTCCTTCCGAAATGGGAGGCTTTTTCAGTTAAAAACTGTCAAATGTGGAGTTCCAAGCTTTTTAAACTATATGAGAAGTTGAGTTGTACAGTAGATTTTCATGTAGATTAAATTACATGCCTCCCAATGGACGGTCCTAAACATCTTTGTTTGCTGGTTTACCAAATAAAGGTTTTTGTCACATTCATGAGTTTTAAGTAGAGTAAAACTGACTAAATGGGATGGAAAGCAATACATCCTCAACTACAGAACAGAAGTCCACTTGTACTGTTTTTTATGAACAAATATTAAGTAAAGAGTAATTGCCTAAGCACTGAACCCTGTGGAACTCCATGTAAAACTCTGGTGTAGGAAGATTTGGAATGCTACATGGTTTGGATGAAGTTATTATTTTCTAAATCAGAGATACTGTATGTAGGGATTAAACTGTTGACTCCATGGTGAAACTGAAACTTTTGTTCTGTGGGTAGCAACAACAACTCTCCCCCGAAACAAGCAAACAAAACAACAACAACATTTAATAGTCAGAACTTTCAGTGTGTTTCTGTGTTTTTGTACCTTCTATACCTTCTAGGGAGGCTTTGTGTTCCTCCAGAAATCCCAGACGACATGACGCTGTTTCCCACCAAAGATGCATACAGAGTGGGCGAATGGTTTGGACTAAACTGCAACGAGTCGGGCCTGATGCCACTGCCACGAGGCACGTACAGGTGCACCAACAAACTCACCTGGGAGCCTGCAATACCTGCAAACCTGCGCTGCTCCAACGGTACGTCTCAGGAGAGGACAGTTTAGGTTCCCCCCAGAGAAAGAAACTTTCTCCTGTAAAATGTCTTAAGCGGGATTCACAACTGATTTATTTACAGTGACGTTTTTGCTAAACTTTTACTACTTTAACTGCTAAATAAACTAAGCTATTTTATCTGATTAGCACCTGCTTTTCGATTTTAGCTAGACTTTTTTACTTTAGCTTTTGGCAAACTTTTGATATTTTAGTTCTTAGTTAGCTTTAATCTACTTTTAGATTTTAACTAAATTGTTGTTACTTTTATTCACTATTTTGCCATTATGTTTTAGCTATAGCTTTTTAGGTGCTTTAGCTTTTAGCTAACTTTTTTCTACTTTTAATTTTATGCTAACATTTTGCTGCTTTTAGTTTGCTTTTTGCTATGTTTAGCATTTTATTAGCTTTTTACTATTTTAGTTGTTTTACTATTTAGTTGTTTTAGTTAGCCTTTTTTTTCTGTGGTTAATCTGGAAATTGGGGAGGCTATTGTTTCAGATCACAAACCCATTTCATTCGAAACCTCTGTTATTCATGAGTCTAAATTACCCGCTCCAGCCAAAACTTGTCAGATGTTTAACTCTTCAACCGCTGCTCTTTTTTCTCTGAATTCTTTACTGATACCAGTGTTGCCAGGTGTACGATAATTATCGTATTTGTATGACAATTTTGCCCTCTGTGCGATGTACGATCAATAATCCCAAAAAAAGGCCAAATATACGATCATTTGACCATTCCGTGAATGTGTGGTTGTAATCGGTTGTCATCAGCCTGTCGCAACTGTCTGTCGGAGTTTTTTTGTGAACCCTGAAGGCATCTGTGTCCGCAAACAGATGCACGATTGGCTGGAAATTCCAGCCAATCATGCTTTTCTAAATGTGACCTACGAGTGACGTATTTGCGTTTGCCTCAGAACAACGGCCATGATTGGATGAATAGTCCGCTGCGCCCGCCCCATGAGTGAGGAAAAGAAAAAAAGAAAAGAAGAAGCAGAGCCGGTCTGGAAGCGGACCCATCACTACTATAGTGCATTAATAGATTTGTTATTTTGGTTATGACGGGTGTACGATAATTTCCCTCAAAATATGATAATTTTATGTTTCTAGTACGATAATCCTAAATTTCTCAATTGGGAACACTGACTGATACTGCCTCAGTACCTGAAACCTCTGCCTGTATTAGTACACAGGAGCTGCTCAGTAGGCATGATGCGACCTGCTCTAAGATTTTAGACCTTGTGGCCCCACTAAAAATCAGGCAACCAAAGTGGGCACCACTCCCCTGGTTAAACGCGACCATTCGTGCAGCCAAACGTCTATATAGGAGTGCTGAGCGTAAGTGGAAAAAGGACAAATTACAGGTTTCTTTTATTATGTTAAAAACGTGTTTGAAAGATTATCAGAGCATCGTTAAATCTGAAAAGAACAAATACTTCTCCCAAACCATTGCTTCAAACAGTCATAATCCCCGTGTTCTTTTTAATACTGTAAATTCCATTTTAAACGTGCCTCGGTCTGCCAGCATGGAGGCCTCTGTTGACATCTGCAACAACTTTACCAGATACTTTGCTGATAAGGTAGAGTTGATTAGGTCATCCATCCCCCAGTCCACAACTGACCCATCTGTCTTTGTCCCTTGCTCAGCTGTCTTCAAACAGTTTGAACCCATTTCACTCTCATTTCTAAACAAAGTCGTTGGTCAGATGAAACCCTCTGGTTCCCCCGCTGACCCCATTCCTGTGTCGTTTTTCAAACAAGCTCTACCCACGATTGGACCCTCTGTTCTTACTATTATAAATAGTAGTATTGTGACAAGTGTGGTTCCCGATGTTTTCAAACATGCAGTAGTTCATCCGTTAATTAAGAAACCTGGACTTGACCCTTTGACTTGCTCAAATTTCAGACCAATCTCAAAACTTCCCTTCCTGTCCAAAATCCTGGAGAAAATAGTTTTCATTCAATTAAACAAGTTTTTGAATGAGAACAGAATCTTCGAGATTTTTCAGTCTTGTTTTAAGCAACTCCACAGCACTGACACAGCATTAGTAAGGGTTTGTAACGACATTATGATATCAAACGATTCTGTTCAGTTTGTGGTACTTGTGCTCCTGGACCTTACTGCTGCTTTTGATACTGTTGACCACAGTATTCTTATATCACGGCTGGAACAGTGGGTTGGGATCACAGGTGCAACATTAGAATGGTTCTGCTCATACCTGAGTGGCAGGAGTTTTTGTGTCAAGGTTGGTAATAATGTATCTGCCTCATTACCTCTTTCTTGCGGGGTCCCACAGGGTTTGATTCTTGGACCCCTTCTGTTCTCACTTTATTTGCTCCCACTGGGGTCCATCCTGAGAAAACATGGTCTTTCATTCCATTGTTATGCTGATGACTGTCAGATCTACCTGCCTGTGAAACCAGCAAGTGTTTGCTCCATTCACCTGCTGTTTAAAATGTCTGGACGACATTAAGGCCTGGATGGCTTCAAATTTCTTAAGTTTTAACGATGAGAAGACTGAAGTCATTGTCTTTAGCCCTAGCTCAACTGCTGCCACTGATCCTGTCAACCTGGACTCTCTTCAGCCATATCTTAAACAGTCTGGTAAAAATCTCGGGATAGTTTTAGACTCTGACTTCAAGTTTGACAAACAAATTAACTCTGTTCAGCAGAAAAGCTTCTTCTAACTCAGACAGGTAGCTAAGCTCAAGCCAGTGTTGTCCAGACCCGACCTTGAGAAACTAGTCCATGCCTTTGTCACGACCCGATTGGACTATTGCAATGCACTCTATGCTGGGGTCAGCCAGGCCTCCATCTCACGTCTTCAGCTCGTCCAGAATGCTGCTGCTCGGCTTTTAACCAGAACTCGTAGGTCTGAACATATTACACCAGTTCTGTCCTTCCTTCTCTGGCTCCCTGTTCGTACGAGGATAGTCTTTAAAATTCTTCTGTTGACTTTCAAATGCTTAAATGGCCTCACGACCCTTTACCTCTCTGAGCTATTGGAAACTTACGTTCCCTCTCGGGCCCTGAGCTGCTTTTGGCTGTTCCAAAAACAAGACTGAAGCTCATAGGAGATCGGGCTTTTTCAGTCATGGGCCCCAAACTCTGGAACAACCTGCCCCCCAACATCAGGCAGGACACCTCCATTCCTCACTTCAAAAATCCCTGCTATAAACACATCTGTTCTCGCAGGCATTTCACACAGTGTAAATTGATCTAGTGTTTTTTTTTGTTCTGTCATGTTTTAAATGCTTTTTATTAATTCTTCAGTTGTTATTAGTGTATTGTATTTTTTTCTCTTTAATTTTACTCCCATTGATCGTTGTTGTTGTTAAGCACCTTGATAACTGGTTCTTTTTTAAATGTGCTCTATAAATAAAGTTGACTTGACTTGACCTTTACTTCTTTTAACTTTGAGCTAGCATGTTGCTGCATTACTTTTTAGGTGGTCTTTACTAACTTTTTGTTTTGTGTTTTCTTTTTGTGTGCAGAGGAGCCGGTTGATCCTGATGGTCAGTGTGGACCTGGACAGAAGCTGCAGGACTCTCGATGTGTCTGCGTTGAGCGGGAAAGCTGCCTGTCAGTTGATTTTAGCAGAGTCAGCATTCACACTTTTGTGTGTAGTTCACTCTGTAAAATTGTTGCAATTGAAGTATTCTGTACACTTAAGCTGCTTTAACCGTTTATGAATGAAAATGTTCGGCTCATCCAGAAAATGCTATGGCTTTTAGTATTTGTAGCTTTTATACTTAAAAAAAATAACAATTTATTTTCAAAAGATTTCCCCATAGAAATACATGGAGATCTGTGTAAAAACCAAAATATCCTGATGCATACTCAATAATCATCTGAAAGACTTCTTCAGTCTGAGGTGATGTATTCAGCTCAGTCTTATAAATAGCACCTTCTCACAGTGGATCAACCAGTTTGCTGCTGACAACCAAAACCAGCTGCTCAACTAATCAAGGAGGACCATCAGCCTAACGATGGATCATTAGCACACTGATGGCTGTTTACTATTCACAGGGGGCTGAGTGATACTAGCAATAACAGCATTGTAAGAGGGGGACAGTTGAAAACCCCTATTGTTGCCAACCTGTACATGGAGGAGGTAGAAAAGAGAGCCTTGACGTCCCTTTCAGTGACACCACCAAGTCATTGGTTCAGGTATGTTGACGACACCTGGGTTAAAATCAAATCTCAGGAAGTCCAACATTTTACTGACCACATCAACTCTGTGGATAAATACATCAAGTTCACACAAGAAGATGTAAAAAAAAAATGGCAGGTTGGCTTTCTTGGACTGTGAGGTCTCAGTCTCTGATAGAGGACATTTGCAAACTGAGGTGTACCGCAAACCCACCCACACAGACCAGTATTTGCAGTTTGACTCCCATCACCCTTTGGAGCACAAGTTAGGAGTCATCAGGACTCTGTACCACAGAGCAGACAGCGTCCCCACTAGCTCAGGATCCAGGCAGAAGGAGAAATCCCACACAAGACAGGCTCTAGAGCAATGTGGATATCCTAACTGGGCCTTCCTGAAAGCAGAGAAGAAACCCAAACAGGACTCCAGTCAGCCAACAGGTGAAAAGGAGGAACCCAGACCCAGACCAGTGGTCATTCCGTATGTTGAGGGAGTATCAGAGAAACTGAGACGTTTATTTTCTAAATATAACATCCCAGTGGCTTTTAAACCCCAAAATACATTACGGCAAAGACTGGTTCATCCCAAAGATCCAGTCCCCCGGCACAAACAGAGTAATGTTGTGTATGCTGTTCAGTGTCAGGAGGGCTGTGATCAGTCTTACATCGGAGAAACTAAACAGCCACTGGCCAAAAGGATGGCCCAGCACAGAAGATCAACATCATCAGGCCAGGACTCTGCGGTCTACACTCTTCTCCAGGCCAGCGGTCACTCTTTCAGGGATGAAGATGTTCACATCCTGGACAGAGAGGAACGATGGTTTGAGAGAGGAGTAAAGGAGGCCATCTTTGTGAAAAGAAATCGTCCATCATTAAACAGGGGTGGAGGCCTCCGGGTTCAACTGTCCCCCTCTTACAATGCTGTTATTGCTAGTGTCACTCAGCCCCCTATGAATAGTAAACAGCCATCAGTGTGCTAATGATACATTGTTAGGCTGATGGTCCTTCTTGAGCATGTGATCAGCTGGTTTTGGTTGTCAGCAGCAAAACTGGTTGATCCACTCTGAGAAGGTGCTATTTAAGAGACTGAGCTGAAAACAGCACCTCAGACTGAGGAAGTCTCTTGGATGAAAGATGAAACATTTCCCAATTTTTTTCTTGTTGTTGTTGTTTTGCTTTGTTTTGTTTGTTGACTGTCCAGAGGACCAGATTTAACTTTTTTAGATTTTTATACCTGGATTATTGAGCATGCATCAGGATATTTTAGCTTTTAACTTAGTTTTATCATTTTACCTACTAACTACATGTTGTTAATTTTTGATTTTAGCTATAGTTCATTGAAATTAATTTTTTTATTGTGATTTTGCTTGTATAATATTTATATTTTTTCTCATTTGAGCATTTAGCTCTTATTTTGCTCATATTAAATTTTAACTACTCTCAAGGTAATTTTAACTTATAGCTATGGTTTTTTTTTTATTTGAGCTTACAGATGTGCTAACTTAAGCCTTCAACTACTGTTTTGTTCTTCATAGATTTTAGCTCCTGTACTGCTCATTTCAGCGTTTACTTGTTGGTCTGCTGATTTTAATTTTTTGTCATGGTTTTGCTAATTTTAGCTTTTACACACAGTTTTGCACATTTTAGCTACTGTTCGGTTTATTTGAGCTTTTAGCAATGAATATGTTCATTTTAGTTTTATTACGGTTTAGTCCTCGCCCGCACTCCCTGCTCCCCTCAGGCAGGAGGTTGAGGAGCATTAAGTGCAGAACCATTAGACTGAGGACCAGCTTCTACCCTGAAGCTGTTAGACTCTTAAATCCTTAGCCAGAATAATCACTGTAAGAAGAAGAAAAAAAAGAAAACCACTGTAATACCACTTTAATTAGTGATATGTGACTTATCTGTGCTGCTGATCCCATGCTGCTGATTATCCATGCTGCTGATCCCATGCTGCTGTATTCATTCCTACCCATCTACTCACCACAGATTCATGTTCTTTCTGCTGTTTAATACACTGTATTTTTTTACATTATTAGTGTTTAGCGTATATCAGATGTTTTAGCGTATTGTTTAGTGTATAGTGTATATCTTAGATCCTTGTTTTATAATTTATATATATGTATATATATATATATATATATATATATATATATATAT